ACACACACACACACACACAAATATATTTAATTATTTTTTTAAACCACAACTGAAAAAATTCTTTGCCATTGGGTAGAACTAAATCCGACAAGAAACCCTATTTATTAGTACTATTACTGTTTTCTTTGGCTCCACATATTATATAGATAAAAATGGCAAAAAAGGGGAAAAATTGTAAAAGGAAAATATTTTGTACAAAAATACAAAGTTTTAAAAGCTCTTTAAGTATATTTCATATTATTACTAAGAGTTGGCCTATATATCTGTATGTCTGTATATTCTTCCTACATTTGGGATTTTTAGAAATGGAAGGCACTGTTTACACAGTATATGTTTAAGTTCTTCCTATAGCTCAACAACAAATGATAGTCTTTTTCAGATTGGAGCATTCCATACTTTGGAAGGTATAACTTGCAGAATTGTATGGTTACTGGCTGAGAAAAATCTATGTGATTCAGTCCATCTGTACACTGAAAATCAACATATCACAATGGGGGAACGTTTTTGTTCCCAAGTCCCTGGGTGATGGCGGACACTAACAGACACTGCTGTCAGTGTTTTCCACAACTGGTTTTCAGTGCTTTTCTTCAATTTGGTGAGAAAGGAGTATCCTCTGCCTTCGGAAGCCATTCCAAATTTTGCTCATGTTATTACATTGCAGCCCATTATAATGCAGATGATAGTGCTAAAACAGAGACAAGAGGATGGGCGTTAATTTCTTAAAGAATTAAATTAATTTACAATTCAAAAAAGGAACATGAGTTTTTATAGGAAGATCATAAAATATGTCCTTCAACGATGTTTATTTTTTCAAAGAAATGCTTACAAGTTCTTCTTCATATTAAGCAAAAGCTATGTTTCATTTTGAAGGAGGCTATTCTGGGGAAGCCTAGTCCCAATCAAATCCCAAATGGCCAAATGACAAATCTGGGTTATTTATCATCATCTATTGTAATTACTTGTTTAGATGTCTGTGTTCCCCATTCCCAACTGACCAGGCTGTGAGTGCCTTGTGCGTCTCGAGATCCCTAGCACTTGGCCCAGTGCCTCACACATGAAAAGTGCCCAACTGGTGTCTGTTGAATGGCTAGATGCATAATTTGTGCCCCAGTTACTTCCAAAAAAAAAAAAAACTGGAGCAAAATATATCTGAGGTTTCTGTTTACCATAACCTTTTTTTTAAACAGTAGCTTTATTGAGATATAATTCACATACCCTATAACTTACCCATTTAAAGTATACTATTCGGTTTTTTGGATATTCACAGAGCTGTGCAATTCAGAAACTAATTTTAGAACATTTTTAGCACCTTACCCAAAGAAACCTGGCACCCATTAGCATTCACCCTACAGCCACCACAAACTTTTAAATCTAGTTCTGATGAAGAAAACTAAGATGAGAGTCATGGATTAAATGAAGTTTTTCATAAGAATATTGTGAAGTAAAGAAAATCTCCCAAAGGCCTCGTTGGAGTATGAGCTTATAAGGGGCACAGACTGTATCCACCCATTATCTAGCACAGCACCTGCCCATAGAAGATGCTCAATAAATACATGTGGAATTGAAAGCTTGGCCACCTGCACTATCTGTGTGTGGAACTCTATGAAAAATGCATGATATTGGTGCCATATGTTAAAGAACAATGAACTGACAATATTATAAATTAGTCTAACATTTGAGTACATCCTCTACAGCAGGCACAGTTGTGCTTCACTTAAATTAACTCGTTTAAGACCTCCCAGTACCCTGTAAAGAGGATACTATTATTATTCCCATGAGCCTTGTAAGTGGCCGAACCAGGACTGGAACCCAGACAGCTGGTTGCAGAGCCTGCATTCAGAACTCTTACAGTTACCTCCTCTCTCCCTCAAATGGGACAGAGCTCTGCAACTCCCTCTGCTATGCACTCTACTGCTTACCTGTCTCCCTGACTTTCTCGCATATGAAGTTATTGATGTCTTCACACTGGAAATCGTTCCACTGCCCAGCATAAATCAACCCAGCACAGTCTTCTCCTGGCCCATGACCATGACCCCAGTTATCTGGCTGTCCAGCTTTCCAATTTCTTTTAACAAAACAGAAACAGAATGTTATTTGTACAGTAAAACAGAAGTTTTCTTTACTCAAGAGCAGCAAAGAAATGTAAAAAACCAAACCTGAAGCATGTTATTTGTCCTAGAATGAAAATGCATTGTTTAAAAAGCAGTGCATGCTCTTATTCAGGATAAGCAGCAGCTGTTTTGCAGAGGTGGGGATGTCTCCAGTTTACACACTCTAAAAGGTCCTGTCTGGGTTGGGGGCCAGAAGTCTGGGGCATAACACAGCATCTCCCTGTAGGCTTGTAATCTTTGCCACAGTGAAGTCAACACACTGAGCTGCTTCATTACAATGCGATGGGACTGGATCCTTCTTCAACAGTTATGTGAATGCTAACTTTTTTTTCAATGTGGTAGAATATTTATGACAAAAATTTTGCCATCTTAACTATTTTTAAGTGTACAATTCAGTGACATTAATTACATTCACCATGCTATGCAACATCACCATTATCCAGTTCCAAAAGTTTTTCATCACCCCAAACAGAAACTCAGTACCCCTTCAGCAATAATCCCCTATCCCTACTCCCCCAGCCCCTGGAAGCCACTAATAAGCTTTTGTCTCTATGCATTTGCCTATCCTAGATATTTCATATAAGTGGGATCATACGATACTTGTCCTTTTGTGTCTGACTTATTTCACTCCACATGTTTTCAAGATTCATCCATGTTGTAGTATGTATCAGAATTCCATTTCTCTTTATGGCTGAATAATACTCCATTGCATGCATATGCCACAGTTTGTTCATCTATTCATTTGCTGATAGACACTTGGGTTGTTTCTACCTTTTGGCTATTGTGAGTAGTGCTACAATAAACATCGGTGTACATGTGTCTGTTTGATACCTTGCTTCCAAATCTCTTGAGTATACACCTAGGAGTGGAATTTCTGGGTCATATGATAAGTTCAAAGTTTTGAGGAACTGTCAAACTGCTTTCCACATTGGAAGCACCATTTTATATTCCCACCAGTAATGCATGAAGGTTCCACTTTCTCCACATCCTCGCCAATACTTGTTATTTTCCGTTTTTCTATTAACAGCCATTCAAGTGGGTGCGAGGTGGTATCTAATTGTGATTTTGATTTGCATTTTCCTGATCACTAATGATATTGAGCATCTTCTCATATGCTTATTGGCCATTTGTATATCTTTGGAGAAATGTCTATTCAAGTCCTTTACCCATTTTTTCATTGAATTGTTTGTCTTTTTGTGGTGGAGTTATGAGTTCTTTATACTTTCTGGGTATTAAACCCTTATCAGATAATATGGTTTCTAAGTATTTTCTCCCATTTTGTAGGTTGCATTTTCACTTTCTTGATAATATCCTTTGATGCACAAAAGTTTTTAATTTTGATGAAGTCCAATTTATCTAGTTTGCCTTTTGTTGCTTGTGCTTTTGGGGTCATACCAAAGAATCCATCGTCAAAAATAAGGCCTTTAAGTTTTACACCTATGTTTTCTTCTAAGAGTTGTATGGTTTTAGTTCTCACATTTAGGTCACTGATCCATTTGGAGATATTTTTTGTATATGGTGTGAGGTATGGATTCAAGTTCATTCTTTTGCATGTGGAGATCCAGTTGTCCCAGCACCATTTATTAAAGAGACTATTCTTTACCCATTGAATGGACTTAGCACCCTTGTCGAAAACCAACTGGCCATAGATGTATAGGTTTATCTTTGGACTCTCAATTCTATTTCATTGCTCTAAATGTCTGTCCTTATACCAGTACCACGTTGTTTTGATTACTGTAGCTTCATAGTATGGTTTGAAATTAGGAAGTGTGAGTCCTTCTACTTTGTTCTTCCTTTACAGGATTGCTTTGGCTATTCAGGCTCTTGGCAATTCCATAAGAATTTGAGGATAAGCCTTTCCATTTCTGCAAAAAAGGCTATTGGGTAACTTTTTAATGTACAGTAGAATGCTCACTTCTGGGTATATATATATATATATATATATATGTATATATATATAAAACATTCTTGTGAGAACTCAGAGGCATCCTTGTAGACTTTGATATCTTGCCTCTAGTAAGTCAAATTCATGCAGAGAAAGTGAAAGACCCTTGATAGACATCTACAAGAACCTGAAATAAACAATTGGTTAGAGTTGTCTGGTTAGGTTGGAGATAGCTTGATTGCTTTAGAAAGAAATAGTAATTTAATCTTACTGAAAATGACTCATTTATTTCCCTGCCTTTTTTTGGGAGAGAGATCATTAAAAACAAGTTTTCTTTAGGATGAGTTCACTTGGGGTTTGTTAACTTGGATGCCGCTGCTCAAAACAGCTCTTTGGCAAGGTTAGTAGCTCTGATTCTGTTTCCTGCAATAAATTAGCTGTATTTTCAGACTCAATACTTGAAAGCTAAGTCTTCCCTAAGAAACAGGTTCTTGCACAGAAGCTTGTGGTTACTGCCTGAGGACAAGCTTGCCTCACGTGGAGTGTCTGAAAGAACATCTGAAAAAGGAGGTACTTCCCATAATGATGACTCACTACCCCATCAGCCACAGGGTGCGCTGGGGTCACCGGAGGATAGAACCCATATTACCCCACATCTTTTGACAATAAGACCAGCAAAACCCAAGGGCAGTGGGATAGGATAATTGAAGGTTACAGTTAAAGGGTGGGGGAAACAAGGCAGAATCGACTCCCCCACACCAAATGTGTATTTTGGAATTTTTAAGAAATGAAAAGTGACTTCATTTAAATAAATCTAGTAATAAAAAGATAATCTAGAGGAAACCATCAACCTGTGAGAGTAATAATCAGAAGATACTTAGGAGAGAGAATTAGAAATAGTCATTCATTCACTCACTCAACAGATATACATGGAACTCCGTCTATGTGACAGAATTCTAAGCAAAGGCAACACAGCAGTGCAGACAACAGACGAAGCCCCTGTTCTCGCAGAACTCAACTAACAGACAATAAACAAATGGATTCAAAATGGGAGACTGTCACAGTGATGCCAGAGCAAGATGAAGGTAGAAGGAAAAATAGTGATTAAAAATGAAAAGTTTAGAACTTGCCTACTTTCATGTATGTTTTTTGTCTGTTTCTGCTCACCGTGCAGGACTTCTCAAGAAATGCCAGGGATACCTGAGGAGTTTGATTTTATTGATGTATGTTTTGTTCACTTTGAGAGGGTTTGATTTTGATTTTGTTTACAGAATTTGAAAGCTATGGTCCCTGAATGTATAATGATGGGACACTTGATATTTTAAACTTCTCAGTTAACTAAAAAAAATAAAAATAAAAAATAAACCTGCTGCTATTGAGTCGATTCTGACTCATGGCAACCCTATAGGACAGAGTAGACCTGCCTCATATGGTTTCCAAGGAGCAGCTGATGGATTCAAACTGTTGACCTTTTGGTTAGCAGTCATAGCTCTTAACCACTACACCACCAGGGTTTCCTCTCAGTTAACTGGGACACTATAAACATGACTTCTAACAGGTGACCTGCTTAATATTTTCCCCTTGCATTTCCTTGTATTTTAAGTAGATAAAAGGGAGGTGCAGACTAGACAAAGAGATCATCGATTGCTAAGAAAGGAGATAATCTATATTGCCATTCTGCATTCGTTTTTCCAGGTCACTGGGATTCTTCATGTACAGTACTCAAGGTTATCTTTAGGGACTAAATGCAGAACGCAGCTCTGCAGCAGTGATGGAGGTGAGAGAGGTGGTGCAGGCACCATGGGTGTGGGCAGCCTGAAGCCAGGCTGCAGGGGCAATTGGTCTTGTAAACTTATCACCAGAGCCTCACTGCATCTCTTCAGAAAAGCTAAAAATCACATGGAGTGACTTGTGGAAAAGCCCTCAGTCTGCATGCTTGTAATAAAACAGAACACATCCGATAAATATAAAATCCAATTTATTTTAGAGAAGAATTTCAGCTAAAATGGTGCCTTGACCTCATTCACAGGTAGATTCTGGAAGGAAGAATGGCAGAAGCCTGGGCAGAAAATCCCTGAATCCCATATAATAACACACACACCACGGATGTGATTGGGTATCAACGCACGTGTGTACTTGGACAGCATATTCTAAGTACACCAGGAACTTGGAAACATTGCGACTGACTGTTCCAGGGAGGTGGAAACACACATGCCCATCAGCTGGTGGGTGTGACTCTCCCCCAGGATTGTGGGTGTATTCTAGTGGAGGCAAAAAACACACTTCCAATCTTAGGAATGGCTCCTTCCAACCTCACAACTCAGTACTTTCTTCTTGACCACAAGACTGACTGAAGCCTCATGGCCAAGAGACTTCTACTGGTGAGGCCCTGGCCTCAAAGCAGGAAAATCTTAGTAGTGAGAAACATTTCTTTGCTATAGAATTTTCTCCCACTGCTCTGGTTTGTATTGTGGAAGATTCCTCTGTGGCGGCTTGAGCCAGTGCCACTCTGATAGCAACCTAACGCATGAATCAGAGTGGGTTATTATTGAATTAGATGATGTCTAAGGCCCTCTTCTTGTCCCCAGCATTCTGATTCCATACTCTGAAAACATTATATGCAGTATTACAGAGTAGTTGACATGAACAGAAAGGCAATCCATAGTTTCTCTTCGTGATTTAAAGATGAAAGCGGTAACTCTTGACAGCTTAAACAAACAAACAAAAAACCCAAACCAGTTTCTGTGGAGTCAATTCTAACTCACAGTGACCCCATGTATGTCAGTGTAGAACTGTGCTCCATAGGGTTTTCAATGACTGATGTTCTGGAAGTAGATCACCAGGCCTTTCTTCCAAGGTGCCTCTAGGTGGATTTGAACTGCCAGTCTTTTGGTTAGCTGAGTGCTGAACTGTTTGTGCCACCCAGGGACTCCACCAAATGATGTCCTGTGTAGTGCAACCAGGAAGTGGACAAGAGGAACAGAGGAGATTCAAATGCATTTTTGGAAGACTATTACATCTCTGAGGATCTAAACTGGGGCAACTGCAGGCAGGGTGGAAAGAAAGGGT